TCAGAGAGAGGTGTCAGTTATTCTCAGCCCCTGTGGTCACACACTAATCTGTGGATTGCACTGAACAGAAAGCTGCAGTGGAGTGCAGCTCTGACACATGTACAGTAACACCAAGTCAGTGCAGCAACGAGACATTTTCCCATCACATAAGCTCAACAAAGTTCCACTGTCATGCCTCACGATAGCTCTACTGATAATGCTCTACCTGCTTTTTCCTGTAGAAGCCGCGAGTGTCACAGTTGGGTATATAGATGTCGCGGTCAGACTGGAAGATTGTCAGCTCGAGACCCCTCAGGACGCTATTGAGCAGCTTGCGACAGGGTGCCTGAAAACAGCAACGCAGAGTGTGACTTCAAACACCGCCAGAGGCGAACAGAGACAACCTGCCTTAATACGGAGAGTGGCAGTGGCAAGCTGCTATCCCCCCTCAGGTGATTGTGTTGGCAGAAATCCTCTTTGCAGAACACATGTCGATGTGAATCACTAAGGATTAGCTACGGTGATGCAGCATTCCAGCCAGAAGCAGAGAAAATGCACATTTCTATATATATAGATCAGATGTCACATATTGTATATGATTATATAACCATATTGTTATACAATGCTTTTGATTTTCAGGTCACTGAATGGTTTGAAGTGACTCTGCGTTTTTGTGTCACTTTGAGAAATTGAACTGTGCAATAGTCGCCTAAATATGACCATTTAGGTGGCTATCGCATTCTACTTATAGCATCCATACTGGCTCAGACACTGCACAGCAAACCAGCTCACTAACTGAGAAATCTGTAGCGGCAGCGGCCGGCTCGAAACTTTCCTGATTCACATCATGCTCAATTAGTTCTGCCGCATAGCAGCACACACATCATGCACCATAATGCATGGCTTCAGAGCAGTGTGTGTGTGTGTACATGCCACTGCAACACCCCAAACGACAGAGGATCTATGGGAAGAACTGTGTAGATGCAGCTCAACATACAGCCGTAACAGGGTTAGAAATGTCAGATTTTTAATGATTTAGGTGAAGATGGAGTAGCTTATCTCACAATAAGAGGATGAACTTACTTTTTCAATGTCACCACTGTGTGAAGGATGTGGACCTGAGAGGAAATGACACGCCGACATGAGAACATTGAAGCATAATACCGGTAAAACAGCACCCATGGTCAGATTATACACTATATACTTAAAATAATACACTTACACTTTGTGATATAGCTTTGCTTCTTTTAGCGTAGTACATTAATGAACCTTCAGTAAGAGGACATGCATGTGTGCTGGCCATTTAACGAGAGACCTAATTTCTGTCAGTACGGCTCCTTTTCAGACAGTTAATCGCAGTATCTCAGTTTGAACAGTAGATGGAGATCACTGCAATAAAAAGCAGCTTGATCAGAATGTAGGTGACACTGTTACAGTTTTCACATTCATTCTAAATTCTCTACAGAGAAGCCGGCTTGTTGGGCACATCATTGTCATGCACCCTGTCACTGAAACGGATGGTAACAATAACACTTCACGGGTGCATATCTTCACTTACAGATCCCCCAAAATTGAAGAAAGCTCACTCAAGGTGTAGTTTTCTCTTTGTTAATGTGATTGTGGTGATTTTCCACCATAAAAGGAACTGACATTTTCATCAAGAGTGAAGCCAGAGGTGCTGCGGAACAGATGCCAGAGGTCTGCAAATTCATTAGTGGTGCACAAAATGCAACCAGGCTTAAATGCCACATACTAATTGTCCCTTCTTGTGCTGGTAAGTGACACAGCATCACATGCAATTTATAGCAATACTGGGGGAGGCACACTGTATATACACTAATGTGTGGCTGTCGCCATATATCCCCTTCAAATCAAGCCTATATGCAGTTGCCGTGCAAGCCCCTGTTTGCATCTGTAGGTGCGTGCCTATGTGATTTCATGCACGTGTGTGTGTAAATACAGTATCTTACCTGTGGGGTGGGGCCTCTCGGTGGGACTAGTCTTGCTGTACTTGGCGCAAATGCCCCTTCCCTGCAACAGAGCCTGGAGGGGGCTGTGCTCCCTTGGTGGGGGAACACAACGGAGCCCCTTGGCACAGGTCAGGGTGTACACACCACAGGGCTCTCCTTGGGCCAGCACTGACGTGCTGCCAGCAGCATTATGGTCCCTGGGGGGCCGACCTGCCCCCAGTGGATCCTTGCAGGAAGGACAGACCTTGAAGGGGCCCAAGCGGTTCGCCCCGGTCCATGATCCGCAGTGAGCAATGAGCAACAATACAACGGTTGTTAAGTTAGAAAGGATAGGCATTTTCTGTCCAGGTCTCAGGTTCTCCACACTGTCACTCTCTGTCAGTTAAATGTAGCTGATGCTATTTCTGGATGTATATTTCTCTCTCACTCTTACTCTCTTTCCCTTTCTCTCCTCTTTCCTCAGTCTTCCTCCCGCTTCTATACAGTAGCTCTCCTTGGTGCTTTGCCGGTCGAGAGTCCCCTGCAGTGCCAGATGAGACAAATGGAGATCGTGAGAGACACGGCAAAGCACCAGCTTTTAAAGATCTGAAAGGCGGTGATAGAGAGAGAGAGTGAGAGAGAGAGAGAGCACAGTTATGACACCTTCAGGGGCTGGGACTCAGAGAGAGAGAGAGAGAAAGAGAGAGAGAGAGAGAGGGAGGTGGCAGGGAGGGAGACAGAGCAAGTGGGGGGTGGATTATGTTCCTTTCAGAAATTATCAAAATCTCCCCACCCTTTCCTGGTATATACGAACACATTCATCTAGTCCTTCTTCTTCCACTTATGTTCAACATTGCCCATGCATAAACAGTAGAAGTCACGTTCAGCCATTTGCACTTTTTCCAATGTCAGAGACCTTTCTGGAAGAACATTTGCCATGGTAACAAACACAAATGTATAGTATGAGCTTCCATCGGCGGCGCTGCCACTGCATTGTCATTTGCCACGACAAATGCACAGCTGTGTGTTCGCTCCTGCTCGAGTTCGGTTTGAGGTTATGACAGAACGTTTCCTGAGCAAACATGTAATCCTAAACCTGAGCTACACACCTGTAATACTCTGTCTTTCTGTCACACGTGTCAAAGTTCACAGAACGAGCTGGATTCAGAAGAAATACACCAAGAAATCCAGCGTGCTCATACGCTGATGTAAGTTTACTCCACGCACCAACTGCGTGCATCAGCCTAATCGCTGCCATGTCGGATATTGCATTACATCTAATCCAGTCTTTCATAAGCTGTTAAACCTCTAGATTATATTTCAGTAGCTATCAGATATTAAATGGCAGTTGGAGCTTTTGCTTGCCAGGTGTTTGACTTGGAAGAGTAATCATCTGGATAATTAGAGGGAGGAGGAGAGGGACAAACGCACAAGACCAAGCTGAATTATGCTCCACTCAGTAAGGATTTTCTTCAGCTACTGATTCCTCTGCGCTTCTTCTCAATGTACAACACTCGACCCTGGCATAATAAAACGGACACCTCAGCCCAGTTATGTTAAATATTCTCATGTGATTCAGATTATTCAGTGTATCTAAATGATGTTTTTACAGCGCACAAAACTGTAAAAGGCACAAGTCTTGTTTTCTTACAGGCATATGCAAAAAGTAACTTTGCAACTACTGCAGTTGAGCGAGTGAAGTGGTTAGATCAGACCTCTCATTCTTAGTCAAAGCTGCACTTTTGTGTATAGTCATTTAGTTAGAAAAAGCATTTATGTTTTGGGAGCAGTTCTTTCTGTTTTGTTTTTGCCACTCTTGTCACTTATGCTCAACTATCCCTGCAACACATCACAGGATTACAACATCACTGGTAGAGGTTGGCCTAATATTGATTGAGTCTGCCAAAACAGCTCTTATCCATCCGGGCATGGACACGGGAACTCTCTGGATGTCCATTCAGCAGATCCTTTGGGTGCTGTGAGTTACAGGGGTGGGACCTCTGTGGTTTTGGCTTGTTCTGGCACATCATTGGGATGTTTGATCAGACTGGGGGAGGCCAAAACGCAACACCTTAGGTGCTTTATTGTGTTCCTTTCAGGTTTTGTAGTCTGGCAGGAGCTTTGTCCTGCTGGGGGAGTCTGCAGCCGTCAGGGAGTGCTGTTTCTCAAACAGTGCTTATGCGTGATAATAATCAAGGTTATAACTTTACCTTGTCTTTCACTGGTCCGCATACAGATGTAAAAGCAAACAAACAGGGCATAAATATTTATATTAAGCCAACAACGCTGAGTGGTAATGACATTTCTCACTAGCTGTTTTTTTTTTTTTAATACAGTGCCTGACCTTAAGACATTTCGTTGTTAAAACGTGTGCCTGGCTCCCGCAGTAGCAGCTCAGACTCTGCAGAGCATACCGACAGACATACCCACTGGCCTGTACTGGCTGGAATTCAGGGCTACGTGAGGCCAATTTCGGCCTTGCCATCAGCCGCCTGCTGTTCTGATTAATCTTGGCAAGGAGGGCAGAAATCACCTGCCGTCTTGTGTTCCCATCAGCTTGCAAGCCGCAGCACTTCTAGTCCTTTTCCACATATTAGGAGAATGTTCCAAGACACTTGCCAGACCGACGGGGGCTCTGTTTTCCACAGTGCCCTGGATTATTCATTTTTCCTCCTTCGGGCAGGCTAAACACAATTTCTTCCTTCTCTTGATTCCTCCAAAAAAGTTCAGATCTGTCCCAACTGGCTCAGAGTGTTTCTCTCTCCTGCCACTTCTTCTTCTACACAAACCCTGTGGTGGGGAGTGGGTCATATCCCCTCTGGACCCCTACTGAGGTAGCCAACTGCCTGATTCATATTTATAGTAATGTTTCAGTTTGGGATAATGAAACAGAACCTGTGAACAGAAGGCGAGGTTTACAGAGTGTAAAGTGTGTGGTGAGGGATTCATGAACATAATGAATGGTGCCAAATACATGGCTGATATATACATCGCAGAAGTGGGATTGGCCAAGTGGCTTCTCACCACTTCTCAAACCTCGCTGCAATTGGCCCGTTCAGCGGAATGGGGCGTGACGTCACTGGGAAGCGCCGTTCCCAAAGTTTACACAAGTGTGCCGCTGATGGATGGATAGCTGATGGACGAAAGTGAGTTTCTGCCTCATTTACTGCCTAGATAGCAGGTTAGCGAGTGAGTTATCGGAAATGACGGCTACACTGACGCAAAACTCGGCTCTCCGGCTTTAGGGAACAGTCTCTCGTTGTTCTCTTTGCTTTGCGCTGAAGCGTAAAGAGGCTATCGCATTAGCCGCTAATGACGCTAACCTGCGTTTAGCTTCCTGGCCAAATTCAACCGCTTTCCCCCCCTCTTCGTCTGGTGAGCTGATGTTTGTAATTTTGGAGGCTCGTTTAATCATCCCTTACCTGTAACCTTCAGCTAACAATACACAAGTTACCTGTTTGACCATCACCTGAACTTAAAACTAGCATCTTCGTTAGCACGGCAGCTGGATGACAGATGTAAACATCGGCACGCCCCCTTCTTGCGACCGTGACGGCGAAAGCTTTACGTTTGTATTTCTAGTGTACCGTTTCTCTTATGCCTTGGGGTCATTGGAAGCAAGAATTTAATAGAATTTAAAACTGTAATAAATGTCAATAACTATCATAACTATGATTTATTCTGGCTAGCTTCAGTGTGTGTGCCACCTGTTTCTTCGTGCTGATACATGTTTAATAGTTCATAACATGGTTATAGAAAGTAGGTGACGATTAAGACTGAGATTTATTTAGGAACTCATCTATATGATTGACTGGCGGTTTATACATGTTATTAAGTGTACACAGTTCTCTGAAAAAGCAGAAAAGCTATTTAAATCTACCAGGCCCTGTGTGAAAAAGAAATTCCCCCTCGTTAAATCACGAATGAACTGCAATTAATCACATTCATTTTCAACTGAAGTTCACTATATTTGCCATATTACTGATTGCTGCCAGACTTTTTGTCTCAAGAATTCAGTTAAATAGAATCTGTCTGATGAAGTAAAGCAGGATAAAAGCAACACATCATGCCACAATCAAAAGAAAGAACAGATGAGAAACAAAGACATGGAAAGGATTAGAGAGGCATTCTTGAGGGTTTGGGAATCCAGTGAACCACGGTGAGAGCCATTATCCGCAAATAGAGAAAATTTGGAGCAGTAGTGCTCTTTCCCAGGAGTGTCCGGCCTTCCAAAATTACTCCAAGAGCGCATCTACGACTCATGCAGGAGATCACAAAAGAACACAGAACAACATCTACAGAACTGAAGGCCTCAGTTAAGATTCAGTGTTCACGATTCAAAAATAAGAAAGAGACTGAGCAAAAATGTCATCTATGGGAGTGTACCAAGGTGAAAACTACTGTTAACCAAAAAGAACATAAAGGCTTGCCTTACATTTGCCAACAACATCTTGATGATTCCGAAGACTTTGGGGGGGGGAAAAGTCTGGGAACTGATGAAAGAAAAGTTTGCGTCTTGTTACATTTGGCGTAAAACTAACACAGCATTTCATAAGAAGAGCGACAGCTTTTGGTCTGAAGTTGCTTTGTTGCTTCAGCGTGACTTGCTGTAACTGATGGAAACATGAATACGGCTCTCTACCAGAAATTCCTGAAGGTGAATGTCTGGCTGTTAGTTCATACCCCAAAGGTCAAAGTATGTCTTTGTGCCCCCTTTTCCCTGTTAATGCCCTATCGGCCCCCCTGGCTAAACTTTGCTAGATCCGCCCCTGCACAGTTACCAGCTGTCAGCTACGTAGAAAAGGATCCTGGTCTAGAAAGTAATATTAAATAAATTCTAACAAAAGATTATCAAGCTTAAACGTGCTGCTGTTGTTCAGCCGCTGGTTTCTTCTTTCTGGTGCGAAGTGGGCGATAAACAAAGAAGAGAGACGGACTCGCGACAGAAAAGCCGATCAGCTGATCATTGATCAGTTTCACGATTGAAGTAGCAGCAGGAGAGAGAGGGAGAGAGAAGCGGCAGTCGCTCCATATATCGGTTGTTAAGCTTAACGTGGGAATGCTTTACAAACATTCAGAGATGAACTTACACACTTGCTTTACTTCTCTCTGGGATCACTTCCTCGGAGATGAAATGCTGGTTTGGTAGCGAGGCTACAAATACACACAGCCGCTCTATCACGTGAGGCACACTGCTCCAATGTGCTACGGTTATGAGCCGAGTTACGCCGTGTCGCAAGTTTCGTGAGGTGCTTTTTTGATATTTAATGGATCGGATTACATTTTTTATTTCTCTCCGATATCCGATCCAGTAATTTACGTCAGTATCAGACCGATACCGATACGTAATATCGGATCGGTCCATCTCTATTAACTACTAAATTGTTGGACAGACCCCTCAGAATCCTCTCCCAGAGTTCTGGGAGCCTCTGGAAGAGGATTTATATAATTTGAGAGGTCTGTCTGACTTCCTCGACTTCTCTTAGACTGTTTCTCAGCTATTTTCTTTCCAGTTACTCCAAGGAATAAATAAGATAAACAGTCAAACTGTTGCATTCGTCAATGTGAGAAGGGGCTTAACTGAAAATGGGTTAGGGCTAGAGTTGATCAAATAAGCCTTCAAGCTGATGTTAGCTCTGTAGTGTAGTGGTTTACATATTTGCCTAACCAGCAAAAGATCCCTGGTTCAATCCTGGGAGGAGACACAAATACCTTCCGGGTTGTGTCAGGAGGAGGATGTAGTGTAAAAATCTGCTAAATCAAATATGCAGAGCTACCATCTGTGGAAACCCCTTATGAATAAGGTAGCAACTAAAGCTACGTTCACACTGCAGGCAAAAGCGCATCAAATCCAATTTTTATGACCCTCTGCGACCCATATCCGATCATGGTATGACAGCGTGAACGGCACAAATCCGATATTTTCAAATCCGATCTGGGTCACTTTTGTATGTGGTACTGAATCCGATACATATCCGATGTTTTAGAAAGCGACTGCTGTGTGAACGGTCTTGTCGCATTAAATCCGTCTTTTACGTCACTGACACAAGACAGACGCCAATTATCAGCGCCGGAGAAGACATCGTGAACGCTTCCTGGCCATCCAGTGTAGATGTCAGTGAAACTGTTGGGAAGACAACATTGGAGAAACGTGAACATTGTATTTGTACTGCATAATCTGCAGATTCTGACAGAAATCGGCAACTATACTTTGAAGCACCGCTCCTCTAAAACAGCAATCAGGATCATTATTAGGTTATTTACATTATTATGTAAATAACAAAATAACTTAAAGCAAAAATTGGGAAACGTAAAGTCCAAAGTCTTTATATTAAGGGCCATGAGTCAAACAATACTGTTTGCTCTGGGTCTAAACAGAGCGTGTTGTGTGGCATCTTCTTTTGCGCATGCGGGCCGCTTTGAGGGTTCACACTAGAGCGCGTTTGCTGTCGTATTTTATTTGTAGTGTGAACGAGAAGACAAAAAAATCGGATTTGATCAAAAAATTGGAATTGAGCATTAAGACCTGCAGTGTGAACGTAGCCTAAAAGATGCTTTGGATCTTCAACCTTAATGTAATAGATTTATGGACTTGCATTTGTTTCAAGTGAGGTTAAATATATGAACTATATGAGCAGTGCTTAGGTGAGACATAAATTGTCCTCACTCTTAGATTTGTTTGACCAGGCACATGTAAACATCACTCCAGGTTGTGGCTATGAAGAACAAAGAGTTTGGAATAATTTGTGGAGAACATACAGAATTACAGATTACAGCCGGGTATGAAACATGTCTCAGAATGAAGTCAATTCATCATTAACCGGAAACCGGACATGCCCAACATACATGTTTCCGAAGTACATTGTAAAAGAGATTAGACAACAGATTGGCCAGGTGTGATTTGATAGTAAAGATTACAGAGCCTGCTGTACATGATCACAAAGTGCTTATTTTGTTTTAACAGTTTCATTTTCTTTACTCAGATGGATGACATCAACGTACTACACCACAGATGCCTCCTGAATCTGAGGCGTCGTGTCAGAGACATCGGTGATGGTCGACCAGCACAGGAGCGATATATGAGGCTGCAGAAGGATGGAGACACACTCAGGTCAGCCTGTTCTTAAATGCCACTGTTTGGGGATTCACTTGAAGAGATCGTTTGGCTTTGTTGAACAGGGTGAAGAGAGGACTGTTTTGTTTTGTATTGCTTAGACCTTTGGAGCCTCTTGTAATTACTGATGCACATTAGGAACAGTTATCAGTGCCATGATAAATATTTTCATTTCCAGTAACAGTCAGTTTGGCAATTTATTTTTTTGTCAGTTTATTTATGTAGAACATTATCCTGGGAAAGGTTCCATCTCTCCTCTAAGACGGATAAGTAGGGAAGAATATGGGCCAGTACAACCATCATCAAAGCAACACTGGTGATGGTAGAAATTTCCTGACATGAAAGTTTAACAGGCTTGGAAGTTCACACGCTAAAGATGTACAGGAGGTTTTCTGGTTGAAATCTCTAAACACAGGGTTTTTCTATACAAAATAAAGTCACCAGACACTTCAGTAGATACAGAGGCCACTACTGCCGCGAGCTCACCAAAATTGGACAGTAGAAGATTGGAAAAAACGTTGCCTGGTCTGATGAGTCTCCATTTCTGCTGAAGCATTTGGATAGTAGGATCAGAATTTTGGGTAAGCAATAAGGAAAGCATGGATCCATCCTGCCTTGTATCAACAGTTGAGGCTGGTGGTGGTGCTGTAATGGTGTGGAGGATATTTTCCTGGCACACTTTTTTCCCCCTTAGCACTAATTGAGCATAATTTCAAAGTCACAGCCTGTCTGAGTATTATTGCTCACCGTGTACATCCCTTTCTGACCACAGCGTACCCATCTATCATCTTATGGCGGCTTCCAGCAGGATAATGCACCATGTCTGGAAGCTCACTCCTTGCCTTAACTACTGTATATGTGGCCCCATTGTGCATATGTGTGCTATTTGAGCCAGGAATAGCGACACGTCTAATTTATTTGCATAGCTTAACATTTTTGTTCTCAACAAATTCTTCTTATTTCCAAAGAGAATTGATTTGAGTCTGCACAAATGTATAGCTGTCTGCAGACACATTTCATCATGGGTATATTTATTTATTAATTTTCAAAATTGAATGGCAAAGGAAATAAAGCAGCAGTGATCTGCTCCCCCGATCAAACACGCAGCAGACAACAAAAGAAAGTCCACAAAGGGCAGAAACAATTGCAATCATTACACGTGTGTGGTTCATTTGAATTATATAAATCTGCTTTTGTTATTATTAGCATTTTAATGTCCATCTTATTTCTCACATCTGTTGCATGTGTCGGTGTGTGCCTATTGATCGAAATCAAGAGGACTTTGTGTGAGATGAGATGTATTCTTTCTGACTGTGCATACAGCAATTACTAGAAATCACCCATTGTTAACCTGTAATTTCTCCTCTTTAGTTACCAAGGGAACTCTGAAGAAGTGGGATGCTATGTGGCTGGCCGGCCTTTATCAAAGGGAAATTGCTACTTTGAGGTAAGGCACATCGATAGTGATGCTGCATGTCAGCATTGTTTTATTGTATTCCAAGTACCAGGATTTATTTGTTCTCTTGTTTCCTCTTTGTAATGTTTAAGTCCAGCAGAAGTGGATGAACAATATAAAATCAGTGGATCGTTATTCATTATACGATAGCCCACATACCACCATCCTTGGCTGTGCCCGCGATTGCTTTTCCATCCAGCCATTTTATCCCCTGGAATCCAGTTGCTGACAATTTTCTCAACTTCATATTAAATTCTCGGTGCCCCCCTACAGCTTCAGTTCACCAGTGCAAAACCACTACCTCAAAAATGTCCCAGCGTCTTTGGAATGAGGGATGGGGTGTCGGTTAGGTGGTTATCTGTAAGCGCAGAGATTAGTCTACCACACCAGTGTTTTTCAGCAGACAGGAAGGGATTCAGACTAGCAGCAGGAGAGGTTATTATACATTTATATAGCAAAGCTGATGCGTCAGTCCCTTCTGATAGTTGTTATCCTTACGGACACGGGCGGAGCCAAGGGGTAGCCTGGGGTGGACACAGTCACCACAGATTATAGTCTGAACATCCTTCTCACTACCGCACACAGCACTGTTGAAGCCAGTTAGGCAGTGTCCAATGTTTTCCCCTACAAACCCACAAAAAGCAAATTTTCATCACTACATATATATACTGGGAATCTTAATCTTTAATAATCAAACATATTTTATTAGTAGATTAGATTTAACAATAATACTCACACGTATCTATACTCCTAAATCCAGCATCCACATGGGTAAGTTAGACAAAAAAAATCACCCTTGAGGGACGGTAGTTCTTCAGGGAACTACTGAGCTGGTAGTCACCTTGAGGCCGTTCCAAGAATTTGCTGGTCTGAAGTTGCTGGTCCTGTTTGAATACATGTGGTGACCAGAGACCATGAAATGTCAAAGAATCTCAATGACCTGTAGTGAGGTGAAAAAACTGGATTTACAAGCCCCGAGTGAACCTTAAAATCAGCTTTTAGGTGAGGGATTGATGCAGCGACTGATTCACGAGTAGGATACCGCTGATTGGCATGTGAGGGGGGTGGTACATATGTTCCAGGGTTAGTGACGCAATGGGGAGCCTGGACTGTCCACTAGCAACCAAACATCAGCCACATGGCAATGCATTACGAGCAAATCGTTTTGAACAGGGCTTGATATCTACTGAACCAGTCTCTTTCTGCTGGGTTGCAAATATACTAAGACAGGACCCTCCAGCAATACCATACTCTTCTTCAAATGATTCACTTCTTCTAGTTTTCTTTTCACATCTTTTCTTCTTGACATGAGAAGCATCATTTCAGATATATGTTAAAATATTCCTCTGCTGAGACTCTATGCAGGCTGGCAGCATGCTTCGACATTATTTCTTATAGCTGTGAGGTGTCCCTGATATGTGCCAGAGTTGACATTTCTTTTAAATGTGATGTCAAACTCACATATGGCCTCTCTCCTCTCCCCTGCAAGGAAAATCTTCACAATAATAATGTTTATACTGAAACAAGAATCACATTTGGAGGATGGATTTCTTTGACATTTAGTGGATTTTACGTTGGTCATTACCCAGAGGTTTGCGCTACATTATTCTCCACTCTGTGACGCACATGCTGTCAGTTCCCAGGATATCTCAAAATTCAGAAGAATTTATTCTGATAAAGGTCGGGGTTCTGTGCGCGTCTGCGTCACTGCTATCCTCGTGTTTCCCCATCTTTCAGCTTTCACAAAGAATCCATTTCAGCTCCGTTGTCAGTACCGCTGCTCGCTCTCCACTCCTCCTCCTCATCGCTTCTTTCAGCCCAGACTGAACATCTGCAACATTCCACTTGTTTTAATAGATTTATTTGAAAAAGTCAAAACTATCATAACTTAACGGAACATCATGCGCGCATTCCTGCTCTTTCCTAATCTTAGTTGTCACACATGTTTTTGTAACTTTTATTTAAATCATACAGACACAAATGATATTTCAACAGCAGAGAAGTGGTATTGTGCCTCGGCCAAGAATGTACTTTTTAACAAACCAGTGATCTACACTATAATCTCTCAAGTGCCAGATTGGAAAGAAATCAGACCAGAAATCTTTGGTAAGGGAAACCCAAGAAGTTTGGTTTCACATGTTGATATACTTAGAGAGACAGGTGGGATGAAGGAAACCTAGCGAGGTGAGAAATAACTTGGAGTGTTCGCCAGTAACAGAGCTGATACAGATTTAAACCGGATGGGGCCATTTTCCTGTACAGGATTAGGATTGCATAACGTCTGACTAGTGCTGGGCAATATGAGCAAATCGTTGTAGTCATATGAAAAGAAACTTTTATCAATGATTTTTTTTACAAGACTGCATCGAGTTCTGTGAAAAACTAAGTATACCTTTACTGTTTCAACACCAGTTGGAAAAAAGCAGGTTTTTTTGCACTTTGCAGGTTTGAACATTCAGGTGTGTGTTAAACAAAACCACAGTCTTCCCAGGATTAAAAGTCCCAGCAAATTCTCCCCAACAGCAGACTGTGCAATGCTCAGAGAACGTGCAAAAACCCCAAAAGCTATAGCAGATTCTGCTGACCCCAGTTAGCGTGTTATCCCTTTATACCCAAATACAAATGTATTCTAATGTTCCAGATTCCTGAACAAAACCACAATGTATCAGTTATCAGTTATATCAGTTTTTTAAAAACTATACATAACCATTTAAGATTTGTACATTTATATTTTCATCAGTTTTTCCTCCTCCTGTTATCTCTTCCCTCATCTTCACCTATCCTCTTCCTCTTTTATCACAAGCCTCATCTTCTGAGCTCAAGGCAGGGATCTAACGTAAAAAACTGCACATAAATATGCTTATGTAATTACTAATACCATCAGCAGAACAGACATGTAGAGCAGGGTGATATGACCAAAAATATTTATCACGATATACATTTGAAAATTTGCGATAACAATATAACTGACGATATAATTGACACTAGACAAAATACTTTACAACTCCACAACTTTATTAGTGCAAAAAACCCCGTCAATGTATTTTCACTTAAACAAGCAGCTGTTTTTTAAGTG